TAAGCTACGCGGGAGCTATGTCCGAAGGTCACCCACCCCTTTTTCCTTACTACCAATCCACACCAGACTCACAATATTTAGCGTGCCTCCATGCCGCAAATACACTATACATTTACAAATATCCATGCCTTCTCTGGGATTCGAACCCGGGCACTTCTATACAGTGGACAGAATAACTAACCACTATCCCATTTGGGGGGACATATAATCCGTTCAATTAAAGTATTTCGCTCCTGTTTGTATGCTAAGAGATATATGTATACAGGGGGGTTTGAAAGTATGCAAGCAATATTTTATAGTATATATGTTGTTGTTTTTACTTATGCTCACTTTCCTGACGCTATTTTTATGTATGGAAGCAAGCACTGTTTTTTTTATGCTTAAATTTAGCTCACATTTGCACAAGAGATAATTTCAGGAAAATGTTCTAAACACTTTTAGAGAAGAATTTTGCATTATTGCCTGAGCTTTCATTGGAATTTTGTAAAGAAGACTTCTATTCTAATTAATTTTGCTCTCTTGAATTATTCTCTTAATAATCCTTCTCTTAAAGATATCGAAAAAAAAAAAGGGTTTTCAAGGGATGGTTTAAAATTTCCGTAAATCTTCCACATTTATCATTATCTGTTAAATTTATTTAATGATTCAATTTCCATTTCTATCCTTCCAAAGGTTTTAAAAGCATTATTTTAATTTTTCCCTATTCGAGTTTGCTTGATAAATCGCGTTCCAATTATCCTATTTATTCTCCGCCTTAGTAATGATAACTTTTACTTCTTTAAAAATAAAGATTCACATTAAAGTTTCCAGAAATGCTCAGATAATTTCTTGGAAATTAAAGTTGATTTAAAATCAGAACTTTTTTTTTTTTTTTTTTTTTTTTTTTCAGTCTCTGAAAAGTTTGAATTTGAATGATCTCTAACTTTACAACTGGCTCATTTCTTCTTAGTTCATAGCGAATATTAATATTTTAAATGACTTTTGTAACATGGATTGTGGCGGGATGTTCTTCAGAAACTTTATTAATAACTAGCTGATGAAAATTCGGCTATCCTATTACTTGAATTGGTCAAGAAAGCAGACAGGTAAACTTTTTATGGCAAAATCTGTTATTTATTTTGGATATCATGCCTTTGTCGAAAATTTCTACAGAACATGAGCTTTTATTTTATTTTTTTTATTATTATTCCAGCGTGAACGAAGAAGCCTGCCTCCCAAGCGGTATAGTGGTTACCGTCGCTGACTACTGCGCCAAATGGCTCGTGTCCGAATCCCGGAGAAGGCATTGATGCTTGTATTTTGTTTGTAGTGTCTGTGCGCACTCTAAATATGTGGAGAGCGGAAAGTCATCTCGAGAGGTTAATGGTAGGGAAAGAGCGGGTTGGGGACCTTGGAGCTTTTACGCCGGAGTCTTCTCCCTCAAAATTGGGAGCGGAACTGAATTAAATCGCACTGTCACCTAAAAGTGCTCAAGGCTGTTGCCAACTGTTAATGAGAGGCATAAAACTTGCGCGCCTTGCCACAAGGAATTTCGTGGCTTTGGGCTGATTTTATAGGTCAGGGAAGTGAGCATTGGCAGGTGACAGGGACGGGGACGCCTGAAGTTTAACAGACGTTAACAGGCATATGTCCCGCGTCCTTCCCTGGAGTTTATTTAATAATTAAAAAGTGTGGATACATGGCCATACAGGAGCAACTGTTGAACATCTGGCATTTGAGATACATTTCAATTAACTTGTTGATACAGGCATGGGTTAAAAAAACACTTACTAGGTTATAAAAAAAGAAGAAAATTAAACACCTAAACATATAACATAAAACACGTAATATATACGAGCACATAACACTTAGGATCACATGACATAAATCACTTAAAAACACATAGGGCATACATAGGGCACAATATCATTAAATATGTTTACAATTCCGGTACAGATAAGCATGGAGTATAAAACAAAGGAAAATAGGGAATGGTACTTATATTACAGATTCATTTCATGACAATAATGCTTAGAATACTGATGATGTTAACTGAAATAAACAAGGTCGAATAAAAACACATATATTATGCATACTAAGACTCTATATTGTGAATTGTACATATGGCCTAGTACAAGAACGCAACTTGTATCGAAGCATAAGGCATGGTACAAAGGGCATGGTACAAGGACAAAATATTGTTGTATGGTATAATTAAATATTACTGCTGTATGTTACAGTTAAATGAAATTTGAACATGTTGGAGTATGGAAGACACATGCTGAGGTGATATAATACAGAGTGCATGTTGGAGATTAAGCAGTGGATGGAGGGTATGCAATTATTATTGTACAGTTACATTACATTACGGGTGGTACATTCCATTACAGGTAGTACAGTTGGTGCAGTTTCATTACATTACAGTTGGTACAGATGCCTTACAATTAGATTATAAGTAGAATTACAATTGCAGTTACTATTACAATACGTAGCATTGCTCCCTATGCAGTCAGAGATTAGATGGTAGAGCATTAGAGCAAGTAATCAGTCAAGATGCCAGTGCAAGTAATGCATATAAGCCCTATTACACTGTTTGACAGAGATCCTGGCCATATGCTGCAATGGTGGTTATTACTTTGCAGATTTTATTTATGTCCGCTCTGTTTTTGGCTAGGAACTTGTGAAATGCTGAGATATTGGCTGGTATCGGGCAGTGAGCATTGGCAACAACATCACCAAAATCAACACCAAGAAGCATTTTATGCTTTGACTGAGAAAAATCCGTCCACTTTTAGATTGTGTGGGTTATGGCAAAGTACAGAAGAGCCTTTCGGCTTAGGAATGTTTTCATGAAATCTTGTTAAGGGAAATGGTGGTATTTATGTTTTATTCAGGGAACACCACGAAACCTGTCCTGCTGCCATTTATGCATCTGAGGCCGGATCGAAATGTTGATTCCATTGCTAGTGAATATATAGCAGCTTTCAGAGAGAGTTATTTGTAAGATTTTCATTTCAAATTCTTTCTCTATCGAGATAATTCTATGTTCTGCATTCCGTTTTAATTCTTTTCGAGTTTACAGAAAACAAGTCAAGAAATAAAATTTTTGTAGTAATCCTAAAACACGTTCGTTTAAGCAAATGATTATAAAGGAAAATAAAGGATTATTAGTCCAAAAGGGCTTTGTCAATGAAGGACTATTGTTTTCGTTTTGCGATTTTTCGTTGAATCGCTATAAATATCCATTTCACTTTCCAAACTGTTGCCACCAAATGTTAGAGTCCTACATTCTATTTGAAGAATTTAAGTAATGAAAAATTCTGCATAAATATATGTATATGTCTCGCATTGTGATAAAACAACGGTACATACAGCCATCGAATTTGGAATGACGTAATGCTACTGCGAATATATGGACATGTGGAAGCCCAAATTTGAAATTGGAGTTTGTTTTATTATCGATTTCTATTTTGTAAAACTTTAACGAATTTTTGAGTAACAAACAACAATGCACAATTACGGGGGACAAATATTTTTGCCTCCAGCGCGCGGAACTGGGGTATCTGAAATTCTAAAGATAGGCTTCATTTTAAAATTATTTTGGACTTGCTATTGAACTAAAATTTCTGTTTAAGTGCGAAGAACATGCTGTTTAATAAATAGAGGTAACACACATAACGGTCAAAAAACGCCCAGTTTAGACGTTAATTTAAAATCTGAAACCTTTCAGATTTTTTATGAGATTATTTTTGATAGAGAGCATATAGATTTGCATAGGAGTTACAGCATTAGATGTTGTGATGTCAAACAATCAAAGAAAATTGTTTTGAGTCTAAATTATTTCAATTTAAGTAAACTGCGATACTAGGATGCTGTAGTGCTGTTCTAGTGTTCCCCTGCCTAAGGAGTAAGTCTCAGAGAAATTATAGGACCAGCAGCGGTAAAGTCGCTGAACACTGGTAGTTCGATTCGAGGTTCGAATCCCGCGAACGGGCTGGCTGCATGGGCGCTTTCGTCGTTTTCCCATGTGTAACGTGTATACGAGACAGTTTTCCTTAGAAAGTCCTCCACGAAAGCATTCCTCCGTCAGGCAGATAGCCCTAGTGTGCTTTGCCATAATTAAATAAACCAAACCAGAGAAATTGCAGGATTCCTTAGGTAGCATCTGTGCTGCTCAGACGCTGTTTCGTTTTGCTCTGTACCTATTGCAACAATATCGAAAATGTAAATGTTCTTGAATAGGTACAACTAGAGTGCGAAGTGAACTGTGGCCACAAACGTCAACTGGGGAATAGAAATTGAATTAAAACCACCTCGACTGGTAAGTTTTTTAGGTATTACCAAGTCAACATATTAGCATACTTCGCATCGCAATCAGAATTCTTCCTCTTCAATATATAGCTGCGTACGCATCAATACTGTTCTGTCGTTTCTTGCTACTATTTCATATATAAGCGTTAATATTTTATTTACCTAAGGATTTCGAAAATGTAGCTGTTTATTGAATTTTCATTAGAAATTTAGCTCCTGTTTTCTCCTTTTGTGAATTTGTAAATTTATTATCTCTGAGAACTACGTATATCTACCACATCGTTAATAACTGGAGTGAGTTTTCGATGTATGCCACTCGGAAATGAAGTTGGAAGACAAGTATTAACATCGCTCTGTATTATTGATTGTTATTGATTATTTTATACGTATTTAATGAGCAAGATATCGTTTACTGCATCATGGTAAACTCATTTTTTTTTTCTGAAGTGTGTTATTATATTTGCCTGTAATGAACTCCCAGATGTGATCGTTTAATTCATAAAGCATGAGTAATGAATAACATATTATAATTTTAATATATATATCATCTGATGTATTTCAGGGTTTTTGCAGTAAGTTGGATTTATGATGTTTATCGTGTGATTGCAATGATGTTAAAAGATTCTTGCTTGGTAGTTTTTAGATTATCTTTTTTAATATATTGCGCTTTGAAATATATTATTAAATTATTATCCTTATTATCTTTACAGCGGTCAAAACAGATAAAATGGACAGAAGGACTTTAGCCTTCGTTAATGAACCAGCAGAACATGTGGACTTTTACAATACAACTGGAGCTGTGATTCCATGCACAGCAAGAGGCGATCCGGCCCCAGCAATACGATGGGAAACAAGAGACGGTAGTCCAGTAAAGGATGTCCCCGGACTGAGGCATATCCGCCCTGATGGATCTCTTGTATTTTCTCCATTCCATGCGGACCATTATCGTCAAGACGTCCATGCTGCCGTTTATAGATGCACCGCTTCGAATTCCGCAGGAGTAATTGGAAGCAGAGATGTTCATGTGAGAGGAAGTGAGTATTTTGCTTTATAATCTATATTATGCCTAGCATCCCTCTAGCTCCCATCACGTCTTCTTAAAACTTAAAGTTGTACTTCAGAAATGATGAAATAGTTTCTATTAGGAAATTATATTTGCAGGCATGTATTTAAATTAGATATTAAATTCGGTTTCGAAATTGGCGTATTGCTTAAATTTGTTAATTCATTTCTGATATTTAAGAAGAATGTTGCAATTGGGTGAATTACTAATTATTTTAATGCAATTAAATAACAATATATTTTCCCAACAAATCAATTGTTTTTAATCAATAACGAGAAACAGTATTAAGAAATATAGTACTGGGGGCAATAACTGTCATCGTTTTTCTGTTTTGTGAGATGTTAAATGCATTTCTCTTGCATTTTCTTTTAAATAGAATTTGGTAAGAAATAAACTCATATGAATAATTCAAAAGTATTCTTACATTATGATATGCTATTTCCAATTTATTCTTCAAATTTTATACTAATGGTTCTGTTATCTCCCACCCGTATTCCTGAAATGCAAATGGATATTTTAATGCAAGTATTTTACAAAGCTTATGGAAAATAAACACAAGATTTTAGACTTAAAATTAGGCAATATTGAGCTTTAGAATAGCTGTATTTCGTATATTTTTTGTGTATTGCTAGAGATCAATGTACGATTTTGGGAGAACGCTTATCATGCACGCTGCACACTGAGAATATCATATAGCGATTTTACTGCTTTAAGAAAAGATCCGTTCCTAAAGCACATTTTAAAAGGTTATCTTCTGATATATCTTCTGATATATATTAAATGAAATATATATTTTTTTCTAATGCTAGATTAGAAAGAAAACTGCAGACGGAACAAGAAAAAATGAAAGAGAACTACAAAACTAAAGTAGAATTCACAGTGTAATCTATAAATCTATTTTATGTCTCGCCTCCCGGTATCTCTCAGAGTTATCCAGCATTAAGTACAGGGCACGACTCAGATGTGACGCATCTATTACTTCATGAAGGTTACACAAAATACGAATAGTGGTTTGGATAATTTTCATTCGATGCTAATGTTTTAGAAAACAATCATGGACAATAACAAAAAGATAGCAACGGATTTCTTTCTGGGATCTAAAGGAATGCCTAAAATTCTGTCAATCCATATTTTAAGACTGTTCCTTTTATTAACGTCTTTCCAAAAAGCTTTTATGCAGTAATCTATATACATATTACCATTATCAATTCAAAGACAGGCTAATTTATTTGCAACATCCCCTTGATGAAGACGCGTCGAAAACAGTAAATAACCTTTCTTCTTTTACAGTTTTCTTTTTTGATTTACGCTACTTTTGCATATTTTTTTGCAACTAGTTACTGTGCTTCTCATTTTTAATTTGAAGAGTTTACCCGAGTTGAACGTAAGATGATTTTAAATATTTTATTTTTACTTTTTCTCGTATATAATACGTATATATCTATATACGCTTATTTAAAGAGGTAACACGTATTGTCCTTAGATTCTGGGTGAGCAACATTTTTGAGATCACCTTTGGACCGGATTTGCATGTATTTAAAATCCCCAAGGAAAAGCGCAAATATGACAGTAATAATAATCTAATAGCTTGGCAATAAGATACTAAAATGTAACGTAGTGCTGCAATAATTTGAATAATAATATTAATTAATTAATATAATATAATATTTTAAGATGTAATATTACAGTGGATTAATATAATAACATTAATAGGTTAGACTATTAATAACTATAAATTAACTATAAATAGAATTTATTAATCGATTGCAGAAACTATTAACTTCTCTTTTGTGTACTTCCTTCACTTTTTAACTCTCTTTATTTTTGTAAGAGAAATAACAATGAGAATAAATTAACGTCAACTCTAAACTAATGTTGTTTAATGAATGAAGTATTTTTAGATACAGTTTATTATGGTAATAACTATTTAAAACATGAAATGTTTCTTGAGTTGGGAAGGAGATTTTCAGATTTCTACGGACATTAAAATTTTCCTGGAAATCAAATAAATCCAAGATGTTTCCTTTTTTTATTTACAGTTTCCTATATATTTCCTAAATAATCTTTTGCACTTGAATAGATTTAAATTTGTAATTTGATGTTTTAAGATGACCATCAAATGGAATTTCAAACATATAAAAAGATATGAGTATAGTCTCATATAATGTCGTGCATTCATGAGTGCAAATAAAACCTGACTTGCGGTTCTCGATGCGTTTTGATCTGGATGAGGCAAAGAACACGTAATTTACCTTCCCTTGTTCATAAAAGTTCTCATTTCTACAAAAGAATGTTCATAGTTTGGGAATAGTGTCTTTCTAACTGGTTACATATATCTAGACGAGTTGTAATAAGACATGGAAGGCTGTTTAACGGTACTATTGGCCTAGATGTTTTGCTAGTGGAAAACAATGTTCGTTTGCCTGAAGAATTTCAGATACCAGAAGATATCACTTGAATGAACTGGCCATAAGATACGAACCTGATATACAATGCACGGGATGCCTTTGACCTAAATGCAGCATACCAAATGCAGATACTGACTTCCCATGATCCTGAAAGTGCTTTCTCAGAAGGATTCTCAGTGGGATTCAATTATACTAGTAAATTCTAGAAACTCAAGATACGAGTTTTGTTTACGTATCAGGAGTTATCGTACGAAATATTTAAGAAATATTTGTTCCAAATTAAAGGAGATTATTTTTTCTGTATTTTAAAATTTTCATAAATATGACTTCAGAACTTAAATATTAATAAACTGCATTTAGGTCACATAATGATTTGGTATAAAGATTTAACAGCTCATTAGGAAGAAACATTCATTTTATTTAAATTAATATGCATTGTAGATTCATTAGGTTTATGGATGTAGCAGATGTGAAAAATATGCTATGCGCTCATCGCGATTCTAAAACCGAACATCCCAAATTCCAGCCAGGTATGTTATCCAGTTATACCATGACGTTAAGACGTAAAAAAAAAATGAGAAAATATTATATATTCCTTCTATTTATTGGTCAACGTGGGATGAGAGAACCAGGTTTCCAAATTATTGTGCTAACGAATTTATTATCCACCACCTTTTAACTTCAGCGTCACTTGTAGAGTCATTATGTTTATCGATGTAGGAGACGTGAAAAATTCGCTGTGCCGTAGCCGGGATTTTACCATCAGCTTTGCTAGTTGCCAACCAGATGTGCTATTCAATTGCACCACGAAGGCATGCGGTAAGGTGAGAGAAAATACTTTATAACCTCCTCCTTTTAAAGGGCGACTAAGGATGAGGGAACCCAAATGACAGATCCCAGGGGTGACAAATTATCATCCGCCATCTTTTAGATTCATTAAGTTTATTGGTGCCGGAGATCAGAAAAATTCACGTTGCCGTCACCAATGCAAATTAAAAATAAATCTAGTTTTGAGCATTTAGATGTCATGCACTGATTCTATTAATTAGCGGCTGTATGTAAGTCAAAATTGGATCCGTAGTGCTAACAAAACAAGAAAAAATAATTACACATATAATCACAGATTGATTATTTTAAAACACAAAATACTCAATTATAGATCGGAAGGGACTGGCTTAGATTCTTGTCATGTCTTGGCTATATCATGATTGTCAAGTCATGATATAGCCAAACTGATGTAGAATTTTAAAGAAGATTTCTATCCATATTGCACTTCCAACAGTAGATTACAGCCGCCTAGCCAGTATAGTGGTTAGTGACCCTCATTGCCGTCGTGCAGGCCCGGGTTCGAGATCCGGAGAAGGCATGGTTGTAACTGTCCGTCCCCTTTATAAGAGGAAAAGGTGACCACCTGTAGGTGATTCAATAATGAAACAGCCATCCCTTTCGGCCCCTGTAGTAGCGCAAGACTAATGGCTATAAAATAAAGCGCTAGGCCAATGGAAAAAAATTAAATGAGAAGGAAGTACATGCAAAGGTGGTTTGTAGCAAAAGGAGAAATCCGGCAATCACGTGATTTATGAAGTTCTTTTTACATTTGTATTCTGTTTGACGCATACTCTTTTATTATTCAATAAAATATTTTTAACAGTTGAACAGTTCAGTTTGACTAGTCAAAATCCTTTCAGAGCAGATTTTGCTTTAGAACCATATGATTATTTTTTATTCTTGCTGCAAGACAGTAAAAGAAAGAGAAGATTGTTAAAAGTTATTTCAGATTTTAGAAAGAATTTCTCAAAAAATCCTTTTTCCTCTGCCTTTAATGCTAGCTGCATTCTCCCTCTATTTTTAACGGGGAAGTGAACGCTTTCAAAGAAAGTATATTTTGATGCATTTCTTTTGCTTTTCTGCTTTCAAAGTTGATATAGGCTGGCGGATAGCATGCAAACTAAGAGAAACGGTGTAATATTTTATTAAGCAATTCGCGAAAATATTTAGAAATCTACACAGACTTCACATTTAATAAACTTAACATAAAAATTTTATTATAGTTATATAATGTATTGTAAATTTGTATTGTAAATTATTATATTGTAAATTTTTACACAAGAAAAAATATGTGGTACAAAGTGCAATTACTTTTTTGAACCACTTTGAATAATAACTGAAAAGGTATCAACTGTTATAATAAATACAAAATATTTTAAAACTATTTGCATCTTTTTTACTCTTAAAATGTAGTTAAAATTAAACTTAATAAACTCTCTAATTTATGAATCGACGCAAAATGCCGTTTTCAAATTAATATGCCTTCTGGGCTAACGCCCTTTGGGTAATAATAAATTCAAAGTGTACAAATATATAAATAAAAATGCTTAAAATATTCATTTTAATTAAGAGTATCTTACTTTAATTAAAAAATAAGACAAGAAAAAAAAAAAAAATGTTTAAATTGACTTCAGTACAACGTACAAATGGGGTTATCTTATTAATTCAAAGGGCAAGAGTGTCCTAATTGCGTTAATTTATTTCCATTTATATTATAAGGTATTTCTCCCGCCTTCCTGGCATGTATTTGTGGTG